ACCTCGAGATGGCAGTAATAATAATTGCATATAAAAAGGCTAGCGGCGCAACTGCGAGTTAGTCTGCGTAGGAAAGGCCAAGGAAGCGAAACTGTCTATTGTGAAATAAAGTAACACCCGTCAATAAAAGTATTTTGATTTGACTTATTGTTTTTATGTGTGATTTGTTAGTATGAAAAAGAAGCGAAAAATCAACAGTGAATGCAGAACGTTCCAAGAAAAATGGAACTTTCAGTATTTTGTGATTGAGTCAAGTAATAAGGCGCTATGTTTAATTTGTAATGAAACCATAGCTGTTCTCAAAGACTATAACATTAAACGACACTATGAATCGAAACATCTTCAAAGTTACTCCAAGTATACAGGAAGTTTGCGGAAGGAAAAATTTGAAGCTTTGAAACGCGAGCTCAAATCGCAGCAATCTTTGTTTACCAAAGCGAATACTGAACAAGATTCTGCAACTCGCGCCAGCTTTCGTGTGGCTCTTGAAATCGGAAAACGTGGCAAACCATTCACCGATGGAGAAATGATAAAAGAATGCTTGATTGCAGTAGCTGAAGAAATATGCCCCGAAAAGGTTAATTTATTTAAAAGTGTCAGTTTGTCAGCAAACACCGTGGTTCGGAGGGTGCAAGACATCGCAGAAAATATATCATCTCAACTGTCTGACAAAAATGGACATCATGAGTGGTTTTCTCTAGCATTTGGATGAGTCAACGGATGTGTCAGATACTGCTCAGGTGTTGATTTTTATTCGCGGAGTAGATAAAAGCTATGAAGTGTATGAAGAACTTCTTGATATCGATAGTACCTAGTCACGGCACGACAACTGGGGCAGATATTTTTAAGGGAGTTGAAAATGCCATTAATAAAAAGAACCTTCGATGGAGAAATTTGAAATCTATAACAACTGATGGAGGCAAAAATATGTATGGTAAAAATAAAGGAGTGGATGCACTTGTGTCAAAGGCTGTAGAAAATGATGATTACATTGTATCATTCATCAACAGTCCTTGTGCGGAAAATGTTTGGATATGTCTGAAATTCTAAAAACCAGTCATATCAGATGTTAACTTCATCAGATCCACTGGGCTGAATCACCGACAATTCCGCGAGTTTATTCAACATATTGGAGAAAATGATTTACCGTATCATACTGCCGTTCGCTGGCTTAGTTGCGGAAAAGTCCTTATGTGCTTTTTTGAACTTCGAGCAGAGATCGAAATTTTTTTAAATGAGCAGCAGCGCTCTTTTGCCGATTCAGAAAATAATGAATGGATGTGGAAGTTAGCCTTCTATGTCCATTTGACAAATCATATGAACGAACTGAATTTGAGATTGCAAGGAGAAAATCAGCTTCTCCCTGATTTATACACCAATATCAAATCCTTCAGGCAGAAAATAATACTATTTTAATCGCAACTGAACAACAATTAGGTAATCATTGGCTGTCGCGGGCCAGATTGATGACAGTAAATCATTGGCTGTCGCGGGCCGGATTGATGATACTGGCGGGCTGGATTTGGCCCGCGGGCCGTAGTTTGGAGACCACTGGTTAGGTGAATATTTCGAAATTTCATTTCAAAATATTTATTTTCTTGATCGTGATTTGATTACCAATGTTGATTACTCTTCGTGAAACAGACATAGAATTTTGTCTCGTTGTCTCGTTGAAGATATATTTTGGTTCTCTTAAATATACTATTCTGATGATTTTTTAATGTGCGTTTTTGAAAGAAATTGTTTGTATAGAATGAAGGAATCGCATGTTGAACGATAAACCCTCGTTAAATCTTAGCTCGCATATGTTTCGACTTCTGAGGGTGGTCGATCGACAGCTGATTAACGCTAAAACAGGTTTCACTAACAAAGATCGCTCCAGTAGGCATCAACCTGATGAATTGGAAAATTGAGGGAAGATGTGTCTCGTTGGCTGAAATGATCATTGCAGGCAATCAATTGAGGAAGCTTAATTGTGTTCCTTTGGAAGTTAACTCAAAGCGTGTCACATGCAATGAAAAAATTGCACCCTAACACACTATGATTCAAGTAAATGTGACAATAAATTCCATTTATTTGTAGGTTAGGTTAGATTAGATCAAAAGTGAGTGGGACTATTTGACCCACCACCGCAACCCGCAAGGGTTTATTGTGGCTCACACCTATTTACACTCGGCCAAATAAACCCAGCTTGTTAACAAAGCCGAACTCTAAGGAACCTGATTCGGTCCCCAGCGGGGCAGGCACAAAGTATATGCACTGCTGTTTCATCATTTTCCATCATCAGAGGCGACACATACTGTCTTTCAACAGTCCGAGTTTCTGTATATGATGATTCAGATGACAGTGACCTATGAGAAGGCCTGTTCATTTGTAATTTCGAAATAATTCATTTGGGTACTATACCAGCTGCTGAAAAATCGGAAAAAGTAACTTTGCTGAATTCTTAACACGCCCTTACTGGGATTGAAAAACTCATAGTACAAGGAGACAATATACAACTCTCGATACATTACTACCACCTAGCATAGCACAGTGATAATCTGCAAGCAGGAAATATCCTTCCAAGAAATGTCTTCAATAACGTTGATCTACGGAGTGTGATCTTTTTGAGCTCCTATCACGCATCTCAGGCTGTTGAATGCTAACTTCTCTATATTACCTTTCTCCTTTCAACATTTTAAATTGAGTAACATTGAGACTACTAATACTATGAAATAAATATTTTGCACAGAGAAATGTGAATTGGCATTACAATAAAATATTTTTCCTTCAAGTTTGTGGAGAAGCCCCATTTTTTGTATGAGTAGTATTTTTCTGTACTATTGCAAAAAAGTTACTTTTTTCTACGATTGCAAATTTGAAACAACTTGACTTGAAATCATGTGACTGAATTTGACATTTCTCGACAGAATCTCACATAACTATGGCACCAATGTTAAAGTTCTTTTTGATGGATAAAATAACGATGGTTATTTTTTGGCCAAACCCAGGAGGTATTGAAGCATATTTTGAACTTGTAAGTAAATTCCCTTAATACATTATTTTGCTACGTTCTCTGTCCGAGGTAATGAACTGAGATGTATAGTGTTTTCAGAGATAAACCAACCTGGTCCTGAATTGAAGTTTATTATTATAAACACATGGGATTTTGTTTGTAGTTGAATATAAAGTAGATACTCTGTTTTCAGATGGTCCAGTAATAACTCACTTTAATCTCTGTGAAGAACCCACCTGCTGGTTTTATCATTACGATCAGATTGTCCCATTTGGTATGGTATACCGCTGAAAATAATTTACACTCGTGTTTTTTGAAGTAACTGATATGAAACTAATGCAACAATTATTCTCTGTTACAACAACTACATCATGAAAGTTATTATTTAGAGCTGATCGAACAATTAAATGAACACATCACTTTTTAATCGACTCCAATCAGTATTACTTTCGGACAACTTTTTGCAGAGAAAACTACCAAACCTACTTATATTTTGGCTATTTCCTGAGAATTAATTTTAGATGTACTTGAAGACATGCATTTTTCTTATAAATAATCCATTAACGTATAAGTTATACCTATATCTACGATTTCTCTTAGTTCCGTTATAATTATATCCATCAAGAATAACTTAGACAGTGATGCGGTCATTATTGCACACTCTTTTTATATAGGTACTAATTAAAATACCATTTTTTAAAGTAACACAGAACTCAGTAAGCTATATAAATATCAAACATATTGTTTAATATCTATGGGTATTCCGTCCCAAATGAAATTGAGATACAATTACAATTACAAACGATATAATAAAACAAAAAAAAGCAGAAAAATCGTAGTTGTTTCTTAGGATTTCGAGAAAAAAATCTTTGTTGCCTAGACTAGTGCCTGTCTAGAAATGATACTTTCGTATTTTTCAATGACTGATAATTGTATTTTGTAAAATACAAAACGAGTGGAACTACAAATACAATATTATAGAAATCCAAAAAAAAAATTCTTCATGATGTAGGTATATTTATTTCTCGAGTAATAATTTTCAATAATGCATGCATTTCTGAAATATTTTTCATTACAAGTTGCATTCATTCATTGTTTTGTTATTTATTTTATATTTGGAGCACATTATTTTATTTCGTGCAGTTTGTTTTAACTTTCTTAAAATTATCTAATGAAGAAACTACAATGTAGGGATTCACGGAATGTCAAAGGAAACTAGTTAGACTATAATTCCAAAATACAAGGCACTAAATGCTCAGAAGTTATTAACATTTTTGCCTTAATCTGTCTCTGGCAGGGGCGTACGGAAATTATAATTAACAGATATGAAAAATTATGATAAACTATATAGAATCACAACCTTGACAACAATGTTTTCGTTTTAATGCAATATTTCTGAGAACGCGGTGCTCTTCTTATATGGAATACTATAATGATATCGCAAAACTGACTAATACCTTGGCTAATGAATATTACTGGAGTTTTTTCCAACACCAAATCGTTATTTTTAACACCTCGACACGTGTTTTGATCACCAAGTGATCATCTTCAAAGAAGAAGAAGAATTGAGTTTTAATCTTCCTCTTTGAAGATGATCACTTGGTGATCGAAACACGTGTCGAGGTGTTAAAAATAACGATTTCGTGTTGGGAAAAAACTCCAGTAATATTCATTACTACACCAAAGGTTCCAAACAGTGCATCATAAGTACCTTGGCTAATTCCAATAATATAAAGCAAAGATTGAAACTTCTATCAGTTTCAGTTCCAAAAATTTCATCTGAATGAGAAAATTAATCAATACGGGTGTATGAGGTTCACAAATTCCAGTTTATTATCTAAATAAGATGTTTTTTCGTATACATTTCGGAAACAGCGGCGGTAACTTGGAGTTGGTCCTTGAAAAATTTGGAAGATAATTCAACTCTGATCCCTGACAATGGTGTTCAGACACTTAAAACAGTAACCGTTTTGAATTTTTGACAAGACTAGCTGGTACTCACAACAATATCCCCAATCCTCAATGGCTGCACTCACACACAAAACAAAAACCAAACCAAGTCACTAGATACCGACTACTAGAAACACAATACGACTCACAGTGGGTCTAATTTTACACACTAGTGTCTTCTAAAATTAGTCTGTGATGCAACTTCGATGTTTTCCGTGAAAATTTGTACAACAATCCGCGAGAAGATTGTCCGCTATGTAGAAACGTCGCAGAACGCAAACTCACGCCAACAACCTCGAGAACGACTGCTGAAGTAAAACGAGTTTGAGGCTTTCCTATATGCGACACCGATAGGCGGTCCCGCAAGGTACGTTACCAAGGAGTCGGAGGCGGAGCGAATGGCGTACGCGACCAATCGCGTTTAGGATTTTCAAGTGCACGCTCGAAGTGTTTGCCGAGGAGAAGTGATAATTTGTTGTTATCTAGTTAATGCAATATCTGTAGGTGTTATGTCTTCTGAGTAGTGTGCTACTCTGGAGGAGAAAATGTGAGAAGATGTTTTTTTTCTGTGACAAATCCGACCCCTCGTGGTAAAACGTTGGGTCGTGCTTTAATTATTCCAATGAAATCTTCTTTTATTGTTGGAGCAAGATTTGTTTCACGTAATTGCTTGGAGAAATATTATTCACGATAATGCTTTTGATGGCATATTATTGCTATTATTTTCAATTTTTGAGATGGAGATGCACAGATACATTCACTGCAGAAAATTTCTTCGAACGCTCTAAGAGCAGTACCTGTCTACCTTGGAAATGCCGTTTCGGGAACTTTATTCTACAGAGAAACCTCTTTTCCAGGTGGAGGAGTTTTATTAAGAGTAGTTGTAACAAGGAATCCGTGTCGTTCTGGTATATCATACTTCCCGTAACATCATTTATAGAAAAGTCCCTTTATTAGAACCTTCAGGCTATAAAACTCTGATGTTCGGATCTGCAATCAGGCAGGATGGCTATTTTCTTAATAAAATCAGCCTCAGGGTGTCTCTGTCAGAGATGTTCATAATTTGTCGATACAATATTGATTTTCAACTTGTAATAACCCAACAATTCGAGCGGAATGTTGTGATCTGATATTCTTATGAACGGTCTTATGAATGGTCCAGATTTCTAGATATTCCTACCGGAGAATTCTTCTTGATTGGACTGTCTATTCTTTTTATCGCCGAAGATGGGCATCGGGAGCTGATGATTGGGCATCTAAATGGAAAAAAGAGACGAGTGTGATGTCATCATCGAAGCAAAACAGTGGCTTTTTTGTTTATTCAATAGATCGTTGATGTATAATAAAACATGTATGATAAAACAATCCCTAAAGAGATGGGATGAAATCAAAAGATGCAGTTTTGACAGGATCACGACCCTGGGAAGCTGGCGCCGAAGAAATATCTTGCGATGACCAGGAGAAATCTACGCTTAACAGTAGGATTTCCGACTGGCCACTGTCAACTAAGGAAACACCTCCACAATATGGGGCTAGTGGACACACCTCTATGCAGAATGTGGGAACAGAAAGATGAAACTGTCAGACATATCCTATGCGAATGTCCTGAGTTATTGTCAATAAGAGAGTGTGTGTTCGGCGAGTCTTGGCCTTTACCTGCCAACATTGAGTACGAGCAAAGTGTATGGAAGGGATATAGTAAGCGATGGCAGCGCACAGTGTGGCAGAATTGTGTAACAAAAGGGGTTAGTGAAACTTGTCAAACGCTGTTTTGAAGATGGGTCATTATTCTTGTTGTGTTATAAACTGCAAAAATACCAGTGGAAATAGTCAGTGTAACTTCTATATTTTTCCAAAAGCAGCCTGGAAAATAGATCAAAGAATTAGATGGATAGCTGCGGTTAAAAGGAAAAAGTAAGTGATGTTGGACATAACCTTAAATACAATTGCCTAATTTAAATAATTTTATAGGATATTTACTAATTATGGTATTATTGTTTGTTGTATAGTGATGATGGATCGCCATGGCATCCAAAACCCGACGACAAAATATGCAGTGAACATTTCATAGGAGGCAAAAAATCAGATGCGCAAGCAAGTCCAAGTTATGTGCCCATAATACTACCTAAAGTATATCGAAATAGAAAGTTTAACGAGTCACATGTACAAGCTAGATATACACGCTTGATTAAGCGAAGAACCACAAAAGTTGCAGCAGATATCTCGGAAGTCTCGGATACCACAACAAATGAAATAATACTGGAAATAGAAAATCAAACTCAACCTCGTCTGGTGAATCAAGGATGTCAAGTTAATGCCGAGAATTTGCTGGTATCTCATCAATAAAAAATGATTATGAAATGCTAGATCTTGCTGGCGTGTCATTCAATAATTTTGATTTTTTACTAACCAAATTATTAACTGAGACAAAATGTACAGTTTCAATTAAAGACCAGCTTCTAATATTTTTAATGAAAATTAAAACTGGCTTAACATTTTCAGCATTGAGCGTGTTATTTGGTAAACACAGAACAAGTATCTCACGAATTTTTCATTCAATCTTGAAAAAATTAGCTTCTGAATCTGCTGATTTGGTATTTTGGCCTACTAGAGCTGCAGTGCAGGGAACAATGTCAGAGTGTTTCAGTCCAGATTACACCAATACAAGAGTAATTATTGACTGCACTGAATTCAGAATAGAAGTACCATCAGCAGTGGATGATCGTGTTGTTTGTTACTCCCATTACAAAAAAGGTTTCACTGCAAAAGTTCTTATAGGAATTAATCCCGGAGGATTTATTTCATTCAAATCCAAAGTAGCAGGTGGGAGAAAAACAGACTCACAAATAACAGTAGAATCTGGTTTTATTGATCTTCTACGTGGTTTTACGTGATTTTATACTATGTATATTTTTACTTGCAGTTATCCTCAAGTGTCTAATTGCATACCAGTTTGGACATTCTGATTGCTTCATTGTATTACAACAAATGTTAATTATATCTTCATTCGTTACAGCTACATATTTCTTATAATATTCTTGTAGATCTTCTGCTAACGGGTAATCACGTTTGTATAATTGAAATTCACTCCTAACTGTAAAAAAAATTAAACAAGCTAAGCAGTCTTCAGTCTCCAAATCAACTTTGTCCGATGTTTCTGATACAACTTCAGTTACTAGGCTTGAATCTAGAGTCTGCTCTGTTACCTGTAATATTCGTTTCAACGTTGACTCTTGCAATAATTCATCATACCTTATTATTGATTGTGGTTTACAACATTCAGTCTTGGATATTGATGGAAACATATCTTGAAAGTACCTCACTTTGGAATATTTACATTGAACAAATTGACGAATGCTGGGTTTGCCCCATTGTTGTTCACAGCTTGTTTTTGAATGACTAACTTTGTTGTTAATGTAATATATTAAAGCAGTAACATGTTTGCATTTGCCGCTTTGGTTGTAAACCCGAGAATTATTTATCTGTAATAAATAGATAAAATCGTTTATAGATATACTTTAACTACCGTAGAATACTAAAATGTGCGAATATTTTTAGGTTAGGAAAGTACTTACATTTAAACTTGTGTTATAGGGTGTCACCGATGTTTGACGAATGATGTTTGCTCGTATTAAATAACTATTGCCATTAGTTCTTAGTTCTTCGACATTCCTTACGTGTTCAGCTAAAACCATTTTTTTCCCCTTCAGCATAGTTTGAGGCTGGATACTTATTTCATGTTTTACGCACTCAAAACCAGTTTTTATAATCACATCCATGTTCCCTTTAATTGTTTTAACAAATATCTATAAAAACACTATTTATTGTCTTTCTATATATTTACTTTATTTATTTTATAACAAAAAACATTATGCACTTGTCATTCACTGTTTGACATACCCACCTTTTGTTGCGTTTACATGGTGGCGCTGGTGTCGTGCACGTTCCGAATAAAGGAGATGTCTTCCAGATATCTGTTCACCTTCCTGGGAAGGACAGGTTGGACGATGACCTAGGAGGACAACTCCTTGGGAGGATGTACAATAGGTCACATGTGGCCTAAATTCTGTGGGCCTACACTCACCCTCTCTACTATGCAGAAACAGGGTTAGAGATAATATGGGGTTCGTGAACCGTCGATGTTTACTTGTAAGGAACGATCTCTTAATTAATAACATTCTCGTATCAGAAGCAGCCAAAAAACCTTGGAAATATCGTGCGTAACGGAAGGTGATACATGTGAGGAGGTATTCCAAATATTAAAGAATGGGTTTGTTGATAAATAGTTTTCTCCGTGATTTTCAATATCACTAATGGTAAAGCAATTAAGCTTTTTGGGTATTGTCTGAATTTGAAAGGTCTTCCAATGAGAAGTTAATAGAAACTCCTTCTTTTAGCAGAGATTGAAGAGTTTATTAAATACTAGTTCAAGTTATCTGGAGAAGTTTTTACTTAAGACCAGAATATCCGACATTACGAATTGTATAGAGGAGATGATGATTGTTTTTTTCCCTGGATAATCAATAGTAACTCTTCAGTACTACCTATATTAGCCATCATTATTTGGATAAGAAACTTCTTGTCTCAAGGAATCTCTTAGTGAGTATCGTAATTGAAAAATTCAGGATCATAATAATTTTCATATTTTTTTTAACCGTCTATATTACACAAAAACATTGTCTTTTTGTCGAGTATTATGTGAATGAGTAATGGATTTTGTATTATAGAAGGTTAGATCTTCACGTATTTAATACATTCGTAGTTGTAGTGTGGTGGATCAGTGAAGATTCATTCTCAATTAGCATCTATTGCGTTCATTAATGAACCTGAGATAATTTTTGGCAATGAGAATTCTGTGCTACTGTAGGTAGGCGAGAATTTCATTAGAGACGGCAGCTTGTTCAATTTTGAAGCTTTGCTTTACGAAGAACCGACTTAGGGAAATTCGTCTATCTTTGATGTTAGTGTGTTAGTGTTAGTGAACATTTTATCGACTTCATAAGTGGTTTGTTCGCTAAGAACAGTTGATCCACCTCTCATGAAACCTCAGCGGGTCTGATGTTGAATAACGAAGATTTTGTATTTAGGCTCTGGTTTCATGTAACCATGGTTAATTGTTAAATGGTGGATTCATTGAAAAGTGACTCTGTGCACCTCTGGCTGGTGAAATAACCTCTTCGTTCAGAAGTGTTTATCGATGAAACATCAGACAGGAAACAAACATCAAGCTAGAGTAAAGTTAGGAAATGCTCTTGAAGCTCTTTTCATTCAGCAGATATGTATTACTGGAATTTTTTTCC